TTGTGAACACAACTCAGTGCTTTACAAGGCCGGGGTTTCAATCAACACGATAATATATAACAAGAACACGGTTTGAATGTGTATGAAATCAATTTGCTTCGCGGATTGACACACATTTTCGCATGAGATTAGAGACTAAATCATTAATGAAAACGTCACGGAATCAGTCTATTCAAAACATTTAGAACAATACAAATTTGGAATATTATTCAGTATATTTGGAACAATACAATTTAGAAAAAATCTTTACGGAATGGTTGGGCACACCTTTTACACAATTTGAAACAATACGACATAGGAAACACTTCACTGATTTAGCTAAACATTTACGTCATTTAAAAACAAAGCTTCTAAGGGGAGAACACCCATTGATCTTTAACTACGCTCGTTAATGTTTGTTTACAATTGCCCTTTGATTATGGTGAGCGATGTAGTGATCGATGAACAAGCCCTTCATAACCGATCATGTGTAACGGAAACACCCGTGTGTTAAGGGGAAACATGGCGAAATTTGTGATTGATAAATGGAGATTATTGATCCGTAAGAGTGATTGATTTTATGTGTAGAGTTTTTTTTTTTTTAGTAATGAGGTGAAGTGGTTAGGTGAAAAGAAAGACAAATAGAAATACTCGATGTTTATTTAAGCGAATGTAAGAAATAATTGGTGATATATTTTTCGTGACTTGTTGAAAATTGTAGGTGTGGTACAGGAAAGAACGGTTAAGTTTAATTAAGAAACATAGTTCGAATCTTTACCTTATTATCGTAGGCATCGTAGGAGTTTTTGTAATGATGGATGCATCATTTTTTTCCCCCCGAAGACATTTGTTCCCAGGATAGATGGGGCAGATGAAGTAGAGTTCATCTGTTGCAATGACCACTGCATACGAGGGGATAGTATGGTCAGCACTATGCCTAGCCGTCTTTACTTTTCCTAACGTGAATCAGGTACCCAACATGGCTGGGTGGACTCAGGGACGATCTACACACTCTAGCCCAGGATCCGAACTCGACAATTTCGGGTTAGCAAACAAACACTACCATTCGACCGCGCATTCCCATATATTAAAGAATCATCGGTGGTTATCACAATCATTGTTTATATAGCCTAAGGTCATTACAATCATGCACATGAGAGATATCATTTAGTTGACCTGTGACTCCAATGACCTACAAACCGATAGGCTACAACAATCTGTGTACTGGGCTAATATTTCAGTCCCAGGTGTACGTCACGCCAACAACGGGGACCGTCAGAGGAACAGTGGCGTGGCGCACCCCTTACCCTTCCCTCCCCATTCTCTCCCTCATCTCCTGACCCCCCCCCCCTCGCCACCATAGACACACACACGATTCCCCAACCAAATATTGGCCCGTGGACAGTTATTTTTAAATTCTTTGGTCGATTTTTTTTTACGTCGACTTGTCTTAGACCGCCGATAGGCTATTCTGACACACGTCGACGTTTGCGGTTCGAGTCCCGACTGACGCAGCTACAGTAGGAATTGCCAGATCAAGTATTTGTTTTGGATAAAAAATTTCATAACTAGAAATAAATTCGACTAATTGATATAAATACTGCTCTGTTTTCTTTTTGTTTGCTTATTTTTAATCCAATGTTTGCTTTTGCAAAAACATAATTAAAACACCAATTATACATTAAACGCCATTTCTTATTATATATCATTAATTAGGAACTATACATCATATTTGTCTGTTCTCGGTTGATTAATACTAATAAAAAAATTCTGCAACAGGGGGTTACGGTGTTATATATTTCTACAACTGATGTCTAAACAAATGAAACGATGTTTTGGTGTGTACAAAGATTGAAAAAAAAACGAAACAGTTCTAAATAAACCGGGAGTGATCTCCCCTAAACTTTCTCGAATATTCTTATATAAAATAACAGGGGATGGGAACTCGGGCTATAGACATGATTTTTAATCCATTTTAAATACTTAAAGTTTTAAAAATAGAATAAAATCTCTTAGAAAAAAGATTGCACACCAAGTGAACGCCAAATAAAAAAGTGCATAATAGTGCGCAATATTATTAGTACTTTAAAAATTTACATTAGTTTTTTGAGAAATCGGAAGTAGCGTAAATTACTACTTCCGGGCAACGGAAATTACTCAAAATTTGACAGAAGGTAGAGAATTAGATCTTATACTTACATGTGAAATTTCATTTATCTATCTGAAATAGTACTCAAGTTATAGGCTTTTGAAAAATTCAAAGTAGAAAAAGTACCACTTCCGGTTATCGGAAATCGCTCAAAAGTTGATGCGGATCTACGATTTTGATAAAATACTTATATATGAAATTTCATCAACCTAGCTGTAACGGTACTCAAGTTATCGTGTTTACACAAGGACAGACACACACACACACAGACATACGGACAGAGTTGCAAAGCCCAGTTTTTCAGACTGGATTACGCATAAAACCTCTTAATTTTGATAAATCTGGATTGATAATTTTTGCCCGATTAAAATAAGTCCTCTATACTTCGGATGTGATGAAGGACTGAGGTGTAATACGGTGAAAATTGTTAAAATTTCAATTGATTTTTGTGCACGATTACAATACTTTCTCTATACTTCGTATATACGAGAAAGTAAAAAAAAGATGAATATAGTAAGTCATGCTCTTGTCGAGTGGGGTAAAGTAAAACCGCTTTAGTAAATCTTATTTCAGCCGGATGCGGAGCGTCAGGGTAAGTCAATCACCCGCGGCGTCAGAAGAGCCGGGATAATAGGATTACCTACCCCTGTTCCTAATTGCTCACGGTGTACGGCGCAAGTCCGTAACACGCGCCGGCTCACGTTCGTCCACGTCTCCACGGGACTCTCGTCGTGAGCTTTAGGGACTTAGGAACAAAACACACTCGCTGTACAAAACACATTTTTTTTTCCACAGGTACATTATTTTACTAACCTCATCATTTTTACCGCGTAGTGCCCAAAACACATGGGGCAGATGAAGTAGAGTTTATCTGTTCTAACGACCTAGGCATATTAAGGGATAGTGTGTCATTTACCTAACAGTGTTAGGAGGATTCAGGGATGTAATACGAGATCCGAACTCGCGACTTTTGGGTTAGTAGTCGTGTGCTCTATCAATCGACCACGCCGTACTTTACCCATCTAAAGTAGTGATAAACTTGAGACATGTACTACTGGCAGGATATTATACTATTGAAAACATATCCTGAACTCATACACTTAAGGCATATATCCTTAAGACATGTAGGCCTACACTTCATACATATTCCCCTAACACATATAGCCTTAACACATATAGGTATACACTTAATACATACTCCCTAACATATATACCCTTAACACATATAGGCCTACACTTCATACAAACTCCCCTAACACATATACCCTTAACACATATAGGCCTACACTTAGTACATATTCCCCTAACATATATCCCATTAAAAGCAGCTGCCATAAAAAAAATACAACCTCAACTAACACACCATAAACATACACCATTAAAACTACAAACACTAAATCAACCATGTGAAACTCTACTGCACCTTTATCAACCACATTTTTTATTGTACTATTCTAGAGTCACGTGACAAGTTGTCCACAGATGGTGCCACGTCCAACAGCCCGTACCACTGTTAAATCTGACACCACCCCCACCCCACCACCCTCACCCCCTCTCGCTGGTTGCACTGTTGTAGCCTTGAAAAGCGGGGTTTGATTACATACAAGGGGTAGGGGGGAGGTGGGGGCGACAGGGTGGTATCGAGTATACATAGTTTATATACTTTACAAGGGATCATAAATATTACCTTATGGCTTTTTTTTTTTAAAGCGGTGGTGTTAAAAGGTTATAAATTAAGTGAGTTAGATCATAAAGTGGGCTAATTTTGTTGCAAGCGTGGGTTATGTTTGTTTGGTATGTGGATCTAAACACCACAGCAACGCACAGCAACAGTCTTACTTCATACAGTGTTGAACAACACGTAGAAGATCATAGAAGATACGTGTGTATAGCATAACCAATCATTATTGAATGTATTTCACGTATCTATATCCTATAATCGCCAGTTTCTACCCCCTACTTACACAGCAATGAACTATTCGCTCACACATTGTAATGTATAATTAAAAAACAATAACATTTATCGTCTTGTTTTACATGGATAATAACCCCAAAACTTCATCAAAGGGCCGTAACTCTAATAAAATATTTATTATCGATTTTAGAACACGATAACGAGTTGTGTCCCATTAAGAAAAAAAACAACTACAATGTTTCAGAAAATTACAATTAATTAATTTTTGTTGTTGTAAAATGCGAATGTAACATTCGATTCTAGGAAACCTATTTTAATCACCGCGTTTGTTTTCCATTCAAAGAATCGCGTGGTGGGACCAATCTTAGCGTTGTTAAGCTGGCACAAAACGAAGAACACACATTAACTTTGGCTTCGTCCATAAATGTCGTCCGTGATTGTGTGATGATGTGTGATGAGGGAGAGGGGAGGGGGGGGGGGGGGGTAATGTGACGTCACTTTTTTTATTTAAAAAAAATAATTTTAAAAGAAAAATTTTGCCGTTATTACACGTTTTAGAAAACAGTTTTAATAAACTGTAATAGAAAATTGATTAAAATACTTATGTTGACAATGTTCAGTACATATTTTAAGGAAATGATGTTTTGAAAAATAATTCAACTGCAATTTTGAAGGGAGGTTTTAGGCTGAAATGTGACGTCATTTTAGGGGGAGGGGCTGGTTTTTTTGTGACGATATATGGCGATTAGGATGGGGTGGGGGTGGAGGTGGGGGAGTCGGAGGGAGATAAAAATCTTCCCAAAAAAGCATGACGTCATTTATGGATGACCCCCCTTTAAATGAATGTCAGCATCAGCCCATATCCCCATTCCACCACATTAGGATATAACTAATAACAAACTAAACCAAGCTACGCCTAAACAAAATAAATTCCAGATTTTATAAAACAAAACTCACCTCTTTTCGCCTGTGGCTGTTCGTACCATATTCTGCAGAAAAAAAATAAAGAAAAAAATATATTACTTCAAACGTAAACCCAGAATGCTATACAATTTATATATAATATAAATAGATACACCGCACTAAAAGACTTAATTACAAAATGTCATGACATGGCTAAAAATAGAAATCTTACTCTCTAAACTTCGACATTTAACCTTTATGAGCCCGGCTTGCCCCAGATCGTACAAGCAAGATAAGAACACAAACGTCTCTAATTAAATTACTCAGCAAATTAATTTCAACATCACGACCCCCACCCCCCACCCCTGACAGGTAAAACCCCTAACCTACAGCCTCACCAGGTAAACTTTTAGCCTACATTGTCTAACAAAGGTATGACTCACACAGCAGGTATGATATTAATAGACGGTGGCACCGCAGGCTTCTCTATGAGTTGTAAACCATACCCCCACTCTCCCGCCCCTGGGTTCTAGATCGGCCTGTCTCCGTCGTGTAAATATTTGGACACATTACATTTTTTTTTCCAACCTCAAGACCAAACAGATCAAGTGACAATTGGCAAGTTTAGATTCCCATAGACTAGCATGGGAAATAGACATACTGCGGTCATTGACTATATATATATATATATATATATATATATATATATATATATATATATATATATATATATATATTGATTAGTAGATAACTTACGCACATGCACATGTATGTATATATATATATATATATATATATATATATATATATATATATATATATATATATATATATATATATATATATTACATATGCATATACAAAGGCTTATATCAACTATTTAGCATCAATTTAAATATATATGCTTATATCTGCAAATACAATTTATATATGCAAGTATATATATATATATATATATATATATATATATATATATATATATATATATATATATATATATATATATATATATATATATATATTACATATGCATATACAAAGGCTTATATCAACTATTTAGCATCAATTTAAATATATATGCTTATATCTGCAAATACAATTTATATATGCAAGTATATATATATATATATATATATATATATATATATATATATATATATATATATATATATATATATATATATATCTTGAAAGTGTTCGTTAATTAATACAATTTACGGTTATACTATCCTGCTTATCTATTACGAAAATAAATTAAATAAAGTATCATGTAACTATTGTAAATATTAATGGCTGAATGAATTAACTCGGTTAAAGTTATAATTAGGTGAAGGATTTTAAAAAGTGCTGTTGCATTTATGATCTTTGTACATTTGACGGTGGGTTAAAAGTAGTCCAATCAATAGTTCTCATGGACAGATGATTAGTTGTTCAGCTTAGGATTAGAGGATATCATGCCTAACTAGATGATGCTTCAGTGATTTCAAGGAAAGTTAAATGAAGCTGCATATTGACATTACCGTAAACAAAGTTTACCTAAAAAAAAATATAACAAAATAAAAAAAAAAATTAGACAAAAAAGAAAATAGCAGTATACTATGAACGTGAAGCACTATTAAACATCGACGCCTCCCCGCAGCCATTTCATTGACTCAAACGCGAGATGACGATTAAGTCCCTTGGTTGGCTAATGGCGGGAGATTCAAGACAGGGGGAAAAACATCTACACAGAATGGCGTTACCTGGGGGTGCCTGTAGTAAACAGTCAGTGACCTGATGATGGCTTGCAGAGGAGGAGGGGGGGGGGGAGCGGATGGGGACATGCCCCGGAAATCCAGAGTATTTATCCCTAAAATCATAATTTATACACTGTATGGGCATCTTTTGTGTAACATCTTTTATGCATATTCACCACGATACGTTTGATAGGCATCCATACAGTAATTATGTTCATATTTATTTTATATATTGCCAGGTCATCTTTAAATACATTATACTTGTATTTATTTTTATATTTATGAAGGGCATTTATACAGTAATTATGTCTTTTGATAATTATGTCAAAAAAAATATAAAAAATTAAAAAAAAATAAAAAAAAAATAAAAAAAAATACAGTAATTATGTCCATTTTCATTTTGATACACTTTAACGGTATTCGTAAAGTGATTAAGCACATGTTTATTTTAATTAATTGTAGGGACAGTGGGGTAGTGAGGTCGGATGTCACCCGGTGCGGCACTTAATGGTGTCACCCCCCCCCTTCCCGAGGCGTAGCGACCCTTCCCGGAAAAAATTTCAAATTTTCGATATGCACCCCCCCTCTCCTCAAATTTTTGATTTGCACCCCCTCAAGTTTTCGATTTGCACCCCCCCCCCCCCTCACCTCAAACTTTCGATTTGCACCCCCCTCAAGTTTTTCTCTATATATTTTGCTATTTTTTGCCTTGGTGTCACCCCTCTAAAAGGTGTCACCCGGTGCGATCTACAACCCCCCCCCCCTCCCTCCACTACGCCTCTGTGTAGGGATATTCAGTATAATAGTTAAGGCCATAGTGATTCTTGTTTTAAAATAGTGTAGGCACACTAAACAAATTATAAAGTCTATACTGTTTGATACATCGGGCCGAGACTGTTTTATGGTAAAGTTCTCCTGATTTCTAAAACGTCTAAATTACCGGCAGTACGAGCATGCCATCGCGAAACTTATAAATAACATGAAGCTGGCTGTCACATGGTTCAATTTCTAATTATAGACACGGACCTTCTCTTGTGAGAACGCAGTCTTAACCTGTAATGTAATACGTGGACGCTCTATACACACGCACCTTCTCTTGAATGGCTGCGGTCAGAGATCCAGTAACGTAGTACCCGAACTGATTTTTTTAGGGTTTGGCATCCCATAGATTTAAATGTACAGTTATCCTTCACGGGCTTCACCTCAACCCACCAACTATCACACCCCCCCCCCCCCCCAGTGTTCCACCTTACTGTGCGTCCGTGATTACATTTGAGAGTCATTTCCTTTGGATATCTATAGCCGTAAACAGTGTTTTTCACGATTCGAGCCTATTCCGAAATCTATCAATGTTTTGCCATTTTCCCCGGCATCCACACACTTTGAATGCCCCTGTTAACACTCGATAAATTGAGAAAATATCAATACTATCACCTGCCACTGTGGACCGATTTAACGTTACTTCAAAGTGCCCGAAGGTATTAAGTCAAACAGTGCCTTCAGTACATTTGAAGTATTCGGGATTCCTTTCCCAATACGGCGATCGCCTACAGAATCTTGCTAACAGTTCCAGTCACGAAAGGCAAGAAAAGTAGATCTTCGTTTGTGAACGTACTGGTAAGATTTTCATAAATAAACATTAATGTAAAAAAGTCAGGTTTGAAGCTGACGTTCTTCGTCTCTTTAATGCGTGTATCAAACTTATATCTGTTTTATTTTTTACTTTTCAAACAAAAAGCCTTAACAGAAACAAGCAACGTTTCAAAAGCACTTCTAAGTAAACAAATTATTTGTTAATCAGTGTCTTAATGTTAATACGACATTGATAAACAGTTTAAAAAAACCATATATATCGTTATAAATATTAATTCGCGTTGAGAAAAAAAAAACGCCTCACTGTACATGTTTTATTTAATTATACACCAATGAAAAAAATTTAAGGCCCCGCGCGGATGGTTGGCCATAGGCCCCGCGTACCCCTAACGCCGGCTCTGATTCTCTCTCTCTCTCTCTCTCTCTCTCTCTCTCTCTCTCTCTATATATATATATATATATATATATATATATATATATATAATATATAATAAACAGTAATAAATGTACATCTTTAATATACGTGTGTGTATGTGTATTCTATGTATATGGGAAAACGCAGCTCAAAATTATATATATATATATATATATATATATATATATATATATATATATATGTATATATATAAGAAGTGCATTGAATACTACTAAAGAACGCTTTATCTTACAACTACAACTGAGTTGATTACACTACCAGCTTCCTAGCAACTACTACCTTAAGCTACAGCTACAACTACAGCCATAGCCGATAGCCTCAAGCTATAAACCACAGTTTACGGGTTTTTTAGCGTCTTCTGCTACTACATAGATCAGTGTCTTGCAGACGTTTAAGAATCAACATAACCCGCACCCAACACGGGAAACTCCGTAAAGTTTATTTCTGGATAATCCCCCCCCCCTCCCCATATTTTTTACAACGCACTCCTAGTTTAAAAAAACATAAAAATATTTTATTTCTTTTATATAATTTTATTAATACCTGCAATAAATAATTTTAATTGCCATTTGAATTTTATCAAATGATATACATTTTTAAGACAGGCAATTAAAATATAAAAAGCTCTACTTCTCGTTCATCAAAATCCACAAAACGGAACCGTGTACATAACTATTCGCCCTTTTACAATCATTATATTACTACCGTTCATTCTTAAGTCCCCTGAATAAAAAGTTTACTACCGCTCTTTGCTTCGCTAAGAAAGGGGAGATAAAAACGGAACCGATAAACATTTCGGCCATGCCTTTTTTTTTCTCTCTTTAATTCAACCGACGCAGGTGACATTTATAACTGACGATCGTTAGCCGCTTGCGAGATCGACGGGACGTGACCCCTGACCTATCGGAGAGCGACGAAGGTAATCGATGACGTCATGCGGACGGGAGTGAAGAAAAAAAAAGCACACATGATTAATAAATAATAAAATAATAAAATAGGGAATAAGAGTCATAGGGGATTACATACGAAGAACAGAATGAGATCAAAATGGGGTCTCGTCGAAGTGCTTCTGGTCATTGAAGGGGATCTTGACATCTCGACCCCATTGCGCGGGTGCTTTTTTTTAATACATTATATTTGTTATATTTATTTACGCTATACGTATATATAGACAAAAATAACTATGACTACTTTTTGTTTTCCTGACTGCCTGTGAAATACTGTTTTTTTTTAAAGTAAATTTTCCACAATCAGTAACAATTTAATTTTTTGAAAAAAATTAATTAGGC